TAATTCATATAATTGAGATGCTACTGGACGCTTTGAAGAATTGGAGTTCCAGCATTGAGTCATAGTTTGAATATAAACTTCTGGAGTTCCATCAATAATTTCAGGTCGAAGTCCAAAACAGATTTCAGTAGCTAGCTGATTATCATGTGGTCTATTACACCATGGTTGAATACCTGTAGAAAGTGTCCACATGATAATTCCAAAACTGTAAATATCTGAAGACTTTGTTGGTGGATTTCCCTTTAAAATTTCAGGATCCATATAAGGAAGAACTCCATATATTTCATTTGAATTTTTATTGTTAGCTGGACCATGTAATCCTACATCAGCAATACGAATATCAATTGAATCTTGTTCACTTTCAACTAATAGATTACCCCCATGAAGATTTCCGTGAATTAATTCATTTTCATGAAGATATTCAATTCTTCCAGATATTTCCCAAAGCAAAACAATTATCTCTTTCCAACAAAGTAATCCTTGTACTTTATCAAGGTAAGAATATAAGTCCTCATTGTCATAATATCTCATAACAAACATGTAATTTGAGGTGGGATCTTTTGTTATTCCGAAAAAATCCGCAACACTTCCGCTTTGTAGACAATGATGATATCTGTAAAGCTTTATATAAAATTTAAAATAAACTTTACTAAAAAAAAAAAAATCTAAAAAATTTTGTAAACAAGAATTAAATAAAACATACCTGTTTTAAATATTCATCACTCATATTTTGTGAATTGTTAAGTTTTTTAAGAGCAACTTTTATTGGTCCGTTACGTGTCCATTGCTCAGCCTCTTCATCCCAAATCCATCGAGGTCCTTCCAACCAAAGTGCTGAATAAATCGTACTAAAGTCTCCGCCTTTATTCGTATTTTCTATAAGGTCGAGCTGTTCAAAATTGATATATTCCAAATAATCGACACTTCCAGATGCATTTAATTGAGTATACTTAATATAATCATCAATATTAAGATTACCACTTGTCCAATTTACAAAGTCTAGTTTAAACGAATTAATTTCACAATCATTACACCATCCTACACTGATTCGTTCTTTTCCGCATTCGGCACATCTTCCAAAAAAAAAACTTGATACCCTTTTTGGTTCATATTCATTTTCCAAATCCAAATACATAGCAACCACTACAAATACTGTAAAAGCATTAGTTTCTTTTTGATATATGGGTCGTTTGCTATTAAAATCAATTTATTAAATATTTTTGAACGATTCGGCATTAAGAAATTAATCATGTGACGAATAATGGGCCTGACAAATAGGATTTTGCAGCTAAGTTCCCAGAATACAATGCTCGTTAAAAAAATGGGTAAAAATTTGAATGATGTCACTTATAGCCCTTATCTTGATTAATTGCATGAAATAATGTAACATGGTTTTATTGCTTACACATCACCGCAAACAAATTAAAGATTTATGTAAATTAAATGGCGCAGTTTAAAAAATTTTTACGTGACGAATATTGTATAAAAAGATAGATATTGAATTAACTTACAATTTAACTAAAATCGGAAAGTCTAATTTAATTAATCCTCGCCATTTTTCTTGTTAAAAACCATTCATATTTATATGTCAAAACGAAAAGAATTTTGATAAATAATTAAGCGTGAAATATTATATACAAGGCAATTTAAATTATATGTTTCGAAAAAAGGACAGTTGAATGCCATATGGTCCACATTTATGTGACAATTTTTCTTTGTTATGGTTACCGCGTCTAAATAATCAAGTATTAAATATACGCATAAATAATTTAACATTAAAATTTTAAATTTCGTAATGTTTCAGAAATTGCCACAATAATTTTTCTATAGAAAATTGATCCGTATTTATATCTATAATCATTAAATTCATTTGTATTTATAAAAAAATTTGTATTGTAAGCAGAAGGTATTTATTGAATAAAAATGAAGTAATAATGACAAAATATTTATTTAATATTATCATATTAATCAGTGTTGCCTCAACATCGGCGCTCTACACTTTCGCTTGATCAATATTTTAAACTATGTAAATGCCAAGTACAAATTCTATTTAATTAAAACTGCGCAAATACGAAATAATTACATAAATAAAATTCTAATTAAATCGGAAATTAAAAATAAAATAATAAACGAGGTTACATATACGAAATTAAAAAGTAAAACGGTGAAAACGAAAAATGTCGCGAAGGTGTAAAAAGGAAGGATTTCGAAGGGAATGTATTCAAGAAATATCACAAGGATTTCCAGCTCGTATATATTAAAAAAAATATATATATATTAATTAGGCCAGCCTGGCGCCTTGAACATTTTGTCATACTGGCACCTTGACAACCTGGCACCGTTCCAGCCTGGCAAATGGTCATCAATAAACTAACTGCAAATATCGAAAGCGATTTTCATGCGGAATTATGGAGATTTCGGCCGGAATTACTTTTTGTAACAATATACACGGAATTAATTAGTTTCATAATGCAAATTCGAACGTTGTATAATTTAAAGGCAAATAACCCTGACTATTTTACAAATTCGTTTGCTATTAAAATCAAGTTATGAAAAATCCGTAACGTGATTTTAATATAGTAGTGTAACATTTCTTTATTTATTTACATGCTGTGTATGAGAATAAGTTAAATCGTAAGGAGATAAATAGTAAGGAGATATAAATAATCTGAAACACTTTCACAAAATGCAAGTTTGTTTATAAGATACGATCAGAAGACAAGGCTTCAGTGCATAGTGTAAATTACTTGGAATATGTGTTTGGATTTACATGCATGATTACGTTAAAGATCAAGTTGATCTTTAAAGTAAAAAATGCATGTGATAAATTTAGATCTACTGGTGGTGATATGATGCGTTCAAAGAAAAATTATTTGAGTTCAAGAAGATTGTTATCTTTTTATTATCTATTTCCTTTTTAATTTTAATCCGTTCCCTTTGATGATTTCATCTTTTTGTAAAAAAAAGTCAGTTTAGCGATATCGTTTACAAATTCAACAATTTTTTTTTTTTTAAAAAAAATAGAGAGAAAAAAGATTTCATTTCAGATTTGTAATAAAAATATTGTTGTATTCAGTTCTTTTCGCTTATATTTAGGCTACGCACATTAGCATTTTCGGGTTACGTCACCCTGGTCCGCTTTATATGCAAATCGTAACGATGCGAGGACGTAGTAATTTAATTAAATCAGATCAATCTGTTTTAAATTTTTTTGAAAATTTTTTTATTTTGCGTGATATTTTATTAGATCAGATAATTTGAATAAAAAAATATATATGTTTTAGATTTTTATAAAGAAAAAACAGCGAGTGAGATAATGCTTATAATCGATAAATTGTTATATGTTGATTTTCTTTGCTACACAATCTAATCTTTATTTCAGGATCTTATCCAACTGCTTCTAAACAACAAATATAATTCACTTCAATCTTAAATATGATATACGTCGAAAACAGTGATAGCAAATTATCCAATTGAACTGGTCCTGTGTCATTTGAGTCATTTCAACATTAAATGACAAATGGCCCGACCATTTAAGAATTATATCATATGATATTAATTATTTCACGTGATATAAATTTGTTATTCTGGCCAACTTATAAAATTTGGCCTGTATTACTTCTAAATGACCCATATGAAAAATGACCCTCAAATGACCTGATCATTTGTATATTAAAATGCTATTCTTTTATAAGGATACGATAGATGTTTTGTAGTTCTGACATAAAACTTTCAAGTTAATAGATTAAATTTCTAAATGTTTAAAGTTTCACAATTAAAATTTATATTTTTTAATCACCAACAGAAAATTATGTATTATAATAATACAACCTTTTTCGTTTTCATACATACAATTAAATGATTTCATTGAAGTCGACTTATTATATGCCAATAATATTTTTTCATTTATCAAATCTTTAAAATGGCATCATTCATCCATTCAATTCATTAAAAATCCGTTATTCAAATTTCCTAATATGGTGTAATTGATCGACATTCGCTTTCGTCTAAATAATAAACAAATCGGGCTGTGAATTAGAGCTGTGAATGAATAATTAAATGCGATTGAAATGAGATAAAACACAAAATGAAATAATGTATTCATTTGTTGTCCAATCCATTATGGATGATTTTGAATTCAAAAAAAATGAAAATCAATTATTTGTGCCTACGTCATAATATTCAATTTTTTAAAAAAGTTTTATTTTCTTTATTATGATTATTTTTTAAAAAAATATATATCGTTATTTTCTTTTTTATACAGTACTAACCTTTTGAGTACACCTCCGATATTTCCACTTCCATTGCAACTTTAAAAATTCTTTTTTTTTTTCATAAAATGATATCGAGGATAAACAGAAAGTCTTATGAAGATACTGATTATGACTCCTTTCGTATCGGAATAGATACGAGAAATCCGCTGAGACACTTAATTAATATACTGAGTAAGATTAATTATGTATAAAAAAAATCTGCCCGTTTCATTAAATTATGTGATGTGGATTCAGAGTTATAGTTATTGTGGGTTAGAGATCGTTTCAGAAACAATTATCTTATTGAGTCTGAGTCGTGTTCGTATAAAGTCTGTATACATCTTCCTAACCCACACACGAACATTTTTTTAAAAAAAAAAAATTAGCGGATCTTAGAATTTTATTAATTCAATCACATGAATAGTTAAAATTAGGAGCATCGAGAAATTATTAATACTACACATAGATTGATTATGTTGAATGAGAAGAGTTCCCCTGGACGCATATTCATTTGTTGTAATGCGCTGCAAAATATTTAATTTGCTGCACAAAATTCGATCCTCTTCGAAAATTAAAATTGTTAAAAATTCCCTGAATTCAAAATGATTAATACATTTTTAATTTTTCTTTCTAAGTTCCTTTGATTACTTCAATATGAAGTAGACGCATAAACATTCTATTATGAAAGACAAGAAACTATGAAATGATTACTACAGGTTCTGAGATTTTTTGACAAAAATTAAAAAAATGTCAATTTTGTTGAAATCAATTTTCCTAACAATCTTTCCATCTAAACCTCCTCAGAACCGTCCGGGTATTTTTCAATCTAATGCAAGCCGACGAAATGTTCCAAGACTTCTATCGATCATTTTCTTTGTATCGTTTCTTCTTACACAGCTTTGATTCTTCAACATCGAATTCGATATTTGCCTATTCAACTGTCAACCCTTAAGTTATGTCTATTGAGGCTTGATCTTGCCACTTACGAAGTTGCGAATGTACGTAGTATTCTATTTTTTACTTTACTTGTATTTTTTGTTATCCCAAAGTATTATCATAAAGAGAATTCTTCTGTTTTATCTAATAATAGAAAAAGACGACATAGAGAAGAATATCACGGAAAAAGTGACGAAGGAATACGATTGAGGATCCATCATGTGTAAATTAAGAGAACAAGACAAAACTACGGTAAATTAGTTCCGGCAGGAAACATTTGTTAGCTAAATAAATCAGATTAAATGATTTATGGTTTTAAGAAAAAAATTTTTTCTCATTTGCTTTTAATAATTTATACAGGGGATGAAAATTGCTTGATTATCAGATAACCTGAAATGATAATAAAGTGAAATGACAATTTAACTTTAAAAGTAATTATGGCTATTAAACTTAAAATGATTTGTTGTGATAATGAATAAGCGATAATGTCTTGGCGTAGTAATTGCCTAACATGGCTATCTAGCGTTGACTGTACAAAATTCTAGAAACATAAATTTGGGCATAAAGAGAATTAAAAGTTTTTTAATGAATTATTAAATTTCTAATATTTATAAAATTACTACGGTCAGTATTTATTTTTCCAATTGAATAATAACGCTTTACTTACAAAATATATTGATTATGTGATTTCTTAACGTAACCTATTTTATTTTCCTAATCAAGAAGTGTATTTATTATCATGCATGGAAAATCTATTTTTCGATAAACAAGCCAAATGAAATAACCATTTCTAGCCTAGCCTAATCTCTTTAATATGAATATTTATATAAAAAGAACTTGCTGAAAAAAAAGCTAATGCATGATTGAAAATCATTAAAATTTGTAAAACATTTAGGATATTATCATACCACGATCATTCGGAACTTTTGATTTTATGGATTTTACTTTTGGAAATTGCTTAGATTGTAAAAATGAACGAAGCAGTTTAAAATGGTGTAAAGTTTGTGAGATTAATTCTTTTAGAGAAAATTTTAACAATTGGACAAGTGGTAATCTTAATATTGATAATTTCATTAAGCATACTCAATTAAATGCAACTCGAAGTGTAGATTACTTGGAATTTATTGAATTTGAACAATTCGATCTTATAGAATATACGAATAAAGGAGGAGCCTTTAGTACAATTTATTCAGCAATTTGGATGGAAGGTCCTCGGTGGATTTTTGATGAAGAAGCTGAACAATGGACGCGAAATGGACCAATCAAAGTTGCTCTTAAAAGACTTAATAATTCACTAAATATTAGTGAAGAATTTCTGAATCAAGTAAGTTAATTACTTAAAATATTTATTTGTGGTGAATATATTAATTAGCATTTATAAATAACTTTTTGTTTGATTTTATTAGCTTTATAAATATTATAAGTGTTTACAGAGTGGAAGTGTTGCTGATTGTTTTGGAATAACTAAAGATCATACTTCAAATTATATGATTGTTATAAAATATTATGAGGGTGAAGACTTACATTCTTATCTTGATAAAATACATGGAATGCTTTGTTGGAGAGATATTGTTGAAATGCTTTGGGAAATATCTGAAGGAATTGAATTTATTCATAAAAATGAATTATTTCATGGAAATCTTCATGGAGGTAATTTATTAGTTGAAAATAATTTAGATTCAATTGATACACGTATTGCAGATGTAGGATTATATGGTCTAATTAATAAAAAAAATACAAATGAATTTTATGGAGTCCTTCCTTATGTAGCACCAGAAATATTAAAAGGAAATCTACCAACAAAAGCTTCTGATATTTACAGCTTTGGAATTATTATGTGGACACTTTCTGCAGGTATTCGTCCATGGTGTAATAGATCACATGATCTTACATTAGCTATGGAAATTTATTCTGGACTTCGTCCTAAAATAATAAATGGAACTCCAAATGTTTATATTCAATTAATGACACAATGTTGGCATTCTGATCCTTTAAAACGTCCAACTGCATTTCAATTAAATAAATTAATAGAAAATTGGATAAATGCAATTTGTGATAATCCAATTCCATCTGAAATATCCAATCAATTCGATATAGCTGAAGAGAAAAGATTTTTAGATTTTAAATTTCAGCATCAAAACATTCATTCACAAGCTTTTTATACAAGTAAACTTTTACATTTTCTAAAATAGTCTAATTCCATTTAAAATATTTAATCATTTTTTAGTAACAAAAATAACAAAATTTAAATTGGCAAATTTAAATCTGAAATGAATATTAATCTATATTTTATTTATGATTTTATAAAAATTTATGATTATATTTAAGATATTTTTTATAAATATAACTAATAATTATATTATTTAATATTTTATATATATGTATAAATTATGTATATGAATATAATTATTAATATAACTTTAATTATATTAATAATTTTATACTAAAAAGTTAATTAAGAATACTAATCAATTTTTTAAAATAGAAATTATATAAGTTTTATTTATTTTAATATAAAAATAAGATTTAAGATTTATAAGTTAATCAAATAAATAATAAATTTTAATATTTTTAAAATAAATTAATACAGTCAAAGTGGTCTATAACGAATTTCTGTATTCCAAATTTCATAGTATTGCGAATCACATGAGTGGTACTAAATTATATATAGTTATATAATTTAAATAAACCGAATTTTTCTAATAAATT